TGTTCGGCTCGTTAAGCAAACGAGCCGAACACGAACACACTTTTTGAGCTCGAAATGTAAACGGGCTCGTTTACACCCCTAACAAGCATGAGTGCAGTGCACACGTCTCTTCATCATATTCACAACTAATGTATAGTAGAGACACAAGATGTCCCCAAATTATTCTATGATAAGTGTGGAGGATATAGAGGTCATGGAAATTAGGCAACTGCAACTCAGAAGATGCCTCCAGAGAATCCTAGAGAGACACAAATGGGTCTTCACAGATACTGGGAGATTTTTTTTCTGAGTAAAACATTCCATTCAGCGTAGCAATCTCCCTTATTTTAATATGATTTGCTCTATAGGTGATTATGGTCAAGACTTAAAACCCCCATCTTTGTATGATTTGAGGACATCGATATTGAATGAGGAGCTGGGTATTGCAAAGAAAAATAATAATAAAAAAAAGACTAAATAGACTTCGAGCCAAATTGGAGTAATAATCATGTATGATGGTTAGTTCAACGTAAAAAATGATAGTTTGGCTAATTTTTTGATAAATAATTGATATGATATTGTGTTTTTGAAATCTGTAGAAGTATCTAATTGGGCAAAGGATGTAGTCTACATTTTTGAACTGCTTGATGGATGAATAGACGAGATGCGAGAGCATTTAGTTGTCCTTGTTGTCGCATATAATATTAGTGTTTATAAGACAGTTGAGAGTAAGTTGATGAATAATCAATATCGGGCGCCTTGTGCTACACATAATAGAAACTTGATTTTGGAGAAGATTGGTGAATTATAATGCCCTGCTCAAAGTCAAGAAAATTTTCTAAGAAAGAACTCTAACGCCATTCTATGATAAGATTTGCTTGTCTTTTTACTCTATTTAATATGCTGAAAGGAGGACAATTATTGAAGATAATTTTCACTTGCATTCAATTACTTTACTCTACACAATAAAAACAAATTAAAGGGAAAGAAGTCGAAAAAATTATTTTAAATGAAAATTTTGATCTAATGTCATATTCAATAATAACTGCAAGATCATTATTTCAAGTTTTGAGAATGGTGAGCGCAAAGAAAATACCATTTATGGGTTTTGTATACAATACAATGGATGACACCAATGAGCTAATAGCCTATAATATCGGAGAAAATGAGGTCTTTTATATAGATTTTGGATATCATTGTTGAGAAATAGGTGCTTCACTTCCACCGTCATTTGCTATTGTTGGATATTTCTTCAACTCTTAAGTTCATTATGTTGGGAATAAGTTTACCAATTCTAAGATAAAGCTAAGGTTATACTATTGCATGGATTGGTTGATTGATGATCTAACTGAGAGGGTAATTGATGATTTGCAACTTATTCCATTAAGGAATAAATAACATTTTTTTGGACTACCAAAATAAAAAGAAAATATTGTTGCAAAATATTCTTCAGGCAATTTTTAATATTTAATGTGTTCATTGAAATACGGATTGAGTATCTAAATACTAAACTTTTAATTTTTAATTTTTACTTGTACTTTTTCCTTACAAATATAATTGAATAATGGATCTAATTTGGAGGTGGTATTCAAAGATATAATATTTTGCTATTAAAGTACTAAAAATCACATGTTCATCACCTAAATATGAACATAATTGGAGCATATGTAATCATGTTCACACAAAAAATAGAGAGTTTGATGACTTTAAGAATGAATTTTTTTATTTATATCATCTAAAACAAGGGATTAAAGAATTTTGTAGAAACAAATATTTGAGATGCAAGAATCACATATTATATGAAGATATGATATCAGATGACGAGTGGTTTGTAGATGATTATAATGGGGTCACACTATTTTAGCTACAACAAAATTTGAACGTTGAGTTTTTTTTTATGGAGACTAAAAAAAAGCTAGCACATCTATCAATAGAAAAAAAGAGAAAATAAAAGGTATTTATAAAAATTGATATTTTCTTAAACATTAATTAATATTTATTTTTATTGATTATCTTTTATTGTTGAAGAGTTTTTTTTAGAGATTGTAAGGTCATTTCAAGTGAAGATTTAGGTACCTAACATCGTTTATTAGTTCTAGATTTTAAGATGAAGAGTTGTAAATTAAATAATACTAGGACTAGGGGTGTAAACAAACCGAACACGAACGAACAAAGCTCGTGTTCGATTCGTTTGAAATTATGTATATTTGAAATAGACTCGTGTTTGAAGTTGTTCGTAAAGTTATTGTTTGTGTTTGGTTTAAAGTTATTGTTTGTGTTTGGTTTGATTTGTTTGAATTTTGTTTGAAATGTTTGAAATGTTCGAATTGTTCGAATTATTCGAATTGATTGAATTGCTCGAAATCTTACAAATTTATTTGTTTTGTTCGAAATCTTTCAAAAACTTAAACCTATAAGAAATTAATGTTTAAACTTGTATGAATTACAACACAAATGTAAAATAGCTGAAGCACAACTCACAATTAAATCGTAATATCATATTTCATTCATAAAAAATTCAGATCTAGAGGCAATATGCGATATTTCACTCAAAGAAACTAAATAAATCTTAAAGAAATATAAGAAAAAATAAGTTAA